AAAAAAAAAAGAAAGATTATAAAGTTTCTGTCATCCTTCCTTTTGCCAATGCAAAGATCATGGTTCAAAATGACCAGCTGCTTTGAGGGAGGATGATGGACAGTCTCCTTCTGTGTGATTTACTGTCTCTTAAACCCTTCTGGAGGGTCAGCTCTGGGTTGGTCTCTACTCGACAGCATACAACAATAATTGAAACTCATTTTTTTTATTGTATTATTTTTACATGTACCGTCAAATCAGATCTCACTGGTACAGGAGGAGATTGTCCCCTCCTTCTCCAGCAGAGCATCTGGTGGATTTGAACTGCTTACTTCTGGGATTGCAGTGCAGCCTCTTGCCATTAGGCCACCAGAGCTCCCTAGAAACTCTTATTTTTTTAATGATAGCCCAGTTTGCAAGATAAAATATGAGGATTCTCAGCAAAATGAAGCTTTGACTGTCTTTATGAAGCATATCCTCAGTATCAACAACTGTCTGAAATTCAGAGTAACAAAAAAATGACAAAGCAAAATTTTAGACACTTTTCACCACTAAGCCGTTTCTGTAGCAGAGACCCCTGTGATCTGTTTCTGCTTCCGACACTGAGATCCTTTGTTGTTCAGAGTAGAATTGTGGGCTATAAAGTTCTCAGTGACTGACTTTCCTCAAGTACATCACCAGGTCTGTCTCCTGAGGCACCAAATTGCCAACCTTTCTCTTAGCAGCTGAGCTAATTAACTGTTTTGTACCACCCCTGGGACCCCACCACAAATAGTACAGTTCATTTGTTCATTCGTTGAGGTGTAATGGTTACAATATGGTTTCTGAAATCAGATTTCCTGATTTCAAATCCAGTCTCCTCCACTTACTGAGGGGACTTTGAATGGACTGCGTGGACCTCGAACTAAGTGCACCTTCCTTTCTTGTTAGATTCTTTTTATGTTAATTTCCCTTGGACTCTGATGTCCCAACACCTCCACAAAGATTAAAGAAGATAATATTTGTAGTGCATATAGTACAATGTCTGCCACATAGTAATTGTACAATAAATCTTAGCTGTTATTCTTATTTAAGTCAAATATGACATCTTTGGTTAATTGTGGATGTGTGAGAAATGCAAGGCCTAATTTATGGCATTATCCCAATCCTCAGGGAAGACAAGGTAAAGACTAACTCGTATGTTGTGGAATGTCATCAGTTCATGAAATCTGTGTGTGTGAGGAGGAGACAAATGCCAGAAGAGTGCAGGTAAAGGAGAGGTGACTTGCTAAGGAATTTCCAGGCAAGAGAACATACAGAAAAATAATTAGATAGATTGAACTAAGAAAGAGAGAGGAGGATATTTTGAAAAGAGAGGTGAACTTGAACTTGAAGGATGTGTTTGTGGCAGTGTGGCTCATTGTATTTAGGTTGGAGCATGGGGAACTGGACCATGGGGAATGTGAAGTTGATTTGGGAAGTACAGGCCTAGGAGCTCTAGTGGCCTAGAGGTACACTGTTCTACACTAGAGAGAGCTACACTGCCAACCCAAAGGCATGCGGTTCAAACCCACCAGCTACTCTGAAGGAGGAGGATAGACAGTATCCTTCTGTGCAGTCTACTGCCTCTGAAAACCCACTGGAGTGTCAGCTATGGGTTGGTTCCAACTTGATGGTACGTAACAGCATGCCTGGAAATAGAAGAAGATATTGCTCATCTTTCTCCTTCAGAGCAGATGGTGGATTCAAACCACCAGTCTTCGGGTTGATAGCACAACTCCTTAACTACTAAAGCTCCCTGAGTGAAATAGATCAGTCACAAAAGGACACCTCTTATATGCTCCTACTTAGAAGTTATCCAGATAGGCAAATGTGTAGAGATTAAAGTTTATTAGTGGTTACATGGGCTAGTCAGGAGTAAGTGAGAAGGGAGTACTCATCGTTCAGGGGACACTGAGCTTCTGCTAAGGGTGTAATATTATCTGGGAATAGATAAGAGTGGTGGTTGAACGGTACCATTAACATAAATAATGTCACTGAGATGCACATGTAAAAATGGTTGCTATAGTAAACCTTGTTTCCACGTATATTTGCCACAATTACAATAGTACTATTTAAATAATACCTAGAAAGTAAATCTTGAAATTGTTGATGAAACAGCATGAAAGTCTAAATGACAATCCAGAAATTTCAGTTGAAGACTTCATCATGATGTGTGCACATTATGATATGCCTTTTTGTTGATATGCCTTTTTGTAGTAATTGATATGTGCTTTCTCCCCCCTATACAGGTGCAATCTCTATTCCTTTGTACATTTCTTACACACTTGACAAGTGGGATTTGGAAAGTGGATTGTGTCCGTTTTGGCTTATTATTGACCATCTTTTGTGTACAGCATCTGCCTATAACATTGTCTTAATCAGCTATGATCGGTACCAATCTGTCTCGAATGCTGTAAGTAAAAACTGTAACTTAATCTTTCTTAGGTTATATACATTTGAATTTTGTGTCCGTTGGTTAAAAAGAAAAGTATAATTTTTTGTTTATTTGTAAAACCTTAGAAGAGTCATATCCTTTTAAAATCTGACACAAAAGGACTTACAACACACAAAATAATTGCTTCAGATCACAAAATGGAAGAAAACACAGGATCAGTGTTTATTACACACTGCATCACCATGAATCAGAATCAACTCAGTAGCAAAAATGTAATTCCCTCCCCGATTTTATTTTTTTAAATTGTGGTTTTAAAGAAACGTTGGTTTTCAGTCATTCATTGTTGAAGTATTTTCCTGCTTTCCCCTCTGCCCTTCCCCAGTCCACTTTGTAATGAACATCTTTGCTCCTCCAGACTGTTTGGTTTTTTCAATGTTTCAATAAAACTTTATTTGCCCAAGCGTGTGACAGGCTACATTGGTTCCATGGATAAATGATAAAAATCATTCTAGGTTTGTTCATAGGAAGAGAAATGGCAGGGGATTTCTTTTAATAAAAATAGTGCAGAATCACATAATCAGTTCTTTTCATATGTTGTTGGAAAAGCTGATTCACATAGCTAAGCCTCACTTCAAGGGAGGCTTGGAAATGTCGTCTCTAATGGAGCAGTGCAATAGCCAGGAAGAAGCTGAGAATCTATTTTGGATAGCCAGACATCTCTACCGCTTTTCATTGGGACTTTACTAGTGCTTCACTGGAAATCAGAGCTGTGGAGAGAGGTCGGATAAATTTGGACTAGAAACTCAGAAGCCTAGAATCTGATCCTTGTCAAATTGTAGTTATTGATTGACCCATAGCTGAATATTCAAATGCATTGTCAGTTGTGACTAGTAGGTTTTGGTTTTTGTTTGTTTCTTAAAATGGAAAATATATTATGGAGCTGAATAGAATAAAAAAATTACAGCAGAAAAAGTGAATACTTTGCACATAGTAAAGGTAAACATTGTTCAACGAACACAAGTTTTTAAGTAAACCTTTATTATGTGAAATATATTTTTTACTTTAGGTCCCAGTAAAAATGTGTAAACAACAATTCTCTGATTCATAACCTTTCCATTAATACCTTAAAAATGTGTCCCATTGTCCTGCATTTATGTTCCTTTGTTAATCTTCACTAGTTTTTAGTTCTAAGAGGAAGTCTGGTCCTGGGAGGTTCTTGGTCCAAGCCTGTGGGCCCATAAAGGACAGCTTGCTCAGAGAGCAAATGTGCTTCGTGGTTACAGAGAAATGAGGAAAGATAGCTAACTGGAAAATGAGTGGGCTTGTTTCCTGTCTGGCCCTCGGCAGCACAGTCAGGACACGTGGCGAGGTTGCTTGCGGGTTCGGGTGCGGTCCTGAGCACACAGCATGCATGTGTCATAAAGGACTGCGCGCTAGAAGGAGGGCTTCCCGAAGCACTTGATCCTGTGTTGACTCATAGCTCAAACTCAGTTATCTTTTTTTTTTTTTTACTTTATTATTTTTGTGTGTGTGTACCGTCAAATCAGATCTGACTGGTACAGGAGGAGATTGCCCCTCCTTCCCCGGCAGAGCATCTGGTGGATTCGAACCATGCACCTCTGGGATTGTAGTTGCACCTTCTTGCCACTAGGCCACCAGAGCTCCCCTAGAAGGAATCTTTAAAGACCACCAAGAACTTGTATGCAGTGATAGTGAGGAAGCTGAGATCTGCTTGGTACGGACAGTAGAGGAGACGACGTCTCACAATAGGAGGTGCATGGTATCTGGAAAAGGAAAATATGTCAATAATTTAGAAAAAGAGGAGAGAGAAAAAAAGTCCAGTGCAGGGTGCGACACAGAAATAGTGCTCAAAGAAATTTCTGGATTGGGTTGTCTGACGTAAGAGTGGATGGAAGAAGGAGAAGACTTGGGATAGCTAGAACGAATAAGAAAGTCTTCAGAATGAACATAGTAAGAAAAGAGCATCATTTTGCATTGAGATAAAAAAAAAAGATGCTGGAAAATAATGTATTTTTTGCGGAGAGAACTGGCTAGGGCACTGAGAAGTTTCTATTGGCCCATTCTTTTTTTAATTATTAAATTTTCTTAATTTTAATGATCATTTACAGATATTTTGGGTTTTCGTTCATTCATTGTTGCACGATTTTCTCTACCCTCCTCCCCAGTTCATTCTTCTTTTCCCCCCCCCCTTGAAAGTCTGTTTTAATGGTCCAATTGCTACAGTGCTTGTCAAAGCCAGTTCTGATTAATCTCCTTTTTCAGTATGTCCTTTGCCATTCCCTGTCACTCCTCCCTGAGAGAGACTTCACCCTGATTAATAAGGAAAAGGGGATGGCGTATTCTCTTAGCTACGTCCTGCTGAAAAGGGATGCTGTAGGTTTCAGGGTAAAGATCTTCTCCCGCCACTCTAAAGGGCCCCTTTGGCAATAGGAAACACATAGACTATTATGGAGATTGATTTTGTAATTTAGATGCACAGTTATCCATTGTGCTTAGCCGTGCATGTTCATATCCTTGAAGATGTATCATGGAACCATTACAGACTAGAAGACACAAATTTAACTAACAAGTTAAAAGTACATGAGTCAAAAATTAAAAAGCAATAATATTCCAAATAGAGGCTCTAATAGTGGCACAAATCAACTTACAGAGGGAAGGTAGTTCTTACATAAAAGGCCTATTGACTAGCACTTTGTCTATTATAGTCTAAAGGTTAGGAAACACAAGATGTAGAGGCTCATCTCATTGTTAACACAGACAGAGATACTCCAGTGGGCTGCTCTGCCTCAGAAAGTAACCGGACTGCCAAGGGGTTTGGGAGGTGGAGACGAATAGCAGGGTGGGAGACAGTGTTGTGACTAGAAATGGATTCTCTATTGAGTGAGGACTGGGTCACTGACTGATTGCAGGGAGGCCATAGCAGCAGGCTTGAGCTGTGACTCAAGTAATTCTCTACTTATCCGGCTCTCACAAATGGTATCCGGAAATGAAGAGATCAGCATTTTCTCCTCAATTCCCTGGGATGTCCATTATCCCACTTGACCTTATGCATAATGGAAGAGATCACTCTCCAACATATTGCATCATATCATTACAAAGGCTGAACAGAGCAATTAAAAAACTAAATGCAGTTTGACGACCATCTGGGTATTGTTACTATCTTCATAATCATTAGGTTTAGTGCAAGAGATATATTAATTAGTGGCATGAGAAGCAGAAGGCAAAAAGGCTATTGTAGATGGGAGCTTGTGGTCAGCACCATATGCATTTTAGCTTAGCCTCAGAAATACCAGTAATTTAAGGGGGGAGGGAAGGGAGAAAGCAAACAAATGAAAAACCACTTCCCTGCAGTTTTAAAAAGAACTTTCATTTTTTTTAAACCAAAACCACCCAACACCCCAGCTTCCTCTTATCTCTGGCCAATTCGGTGTGTCCTTTTCAGCATGTATAATCCACCAAAGAAAAACAGCACTGGGCAAGGACATAAATCTCTCACAGAAATTAGAAAACATTGTAGAAAAAGATTTTGCACTCACAGAGAAAACAGTACATAAGAGATGGTAAAAAGGAGATGGGCTCCAATTGCATGTGTTGATCCATTGCTCATCCCATAAGAAATAAGAGCAACACGGATTATTTGACCTGGAAGGAACCATAAGTCTAAAGTCTTCGTAAGGTCTCCTTAAAAATGTTTTTCCTCTCTAAGTGTATCTGGACCTTGTTGTTGTTGTTGTTATGTGCCATCGAGTCGTTTCCGACTCATAGCGACCCTATGCACAACAGCTCTAAACCCTGCTCTATCCTGCGCCA